GAAAGAGGAACAAAAGCTAGTGACTCAGGCTGGCCTGGAAACGCAACAAAAAGCTGACAAAGCAACACAGTCGATCATGCAGCCAGTATGTTTCACAGGCTGTTAGTGGTAGTCAGTGTTATACTACACACATTACAGAACTTTAGATATTACAATGGTATCTTGCCCAGCAGCAAGTTCTTCCATGCACAAACCCTACTGCTTCCATACTGCAGGGATCATTTGTAGCTCAGCTTCCCAGACTTCAATATAAGGAGTCTGGCTATACATGGTTCAGGTTAGCCGAGAAGCCTCCAGCACACCACAGAAAATTTCTAACACATTTGGATCTCACTGTGGTTTTTGCCATTAAGAAGCAATTAGACATGTCATTTTAAGTACAGTTTTGGTTGCTCTGCTGTTCTCACAACTTATACCTCCATGCTCATCACAGGTTGTGAAGAGCCTCTCTGGATCCGCAAGGAGAGAAAGTCAGTATTTTCCTCTCTAAATTCTAGAGGATGGCATTGGGAGGGGGGAGGTTCAGGAACAGGGCACATTTAAAGAATACTTTTTACTGTATTCCAGTACTCGGAAGCAAAAATTGCCTGCTCAGCCAGTGAAACACACCTCCAGCATATGAGAACACATTCACATGCAAGACACATGTAAGGCCAGCATGAAATTTGCAGCTTTATTGCTGGTCCACGTGAGATCATACCCTTGGCTGGCTGCTCTTCCCCTTTCGAACTATCCCCTTGAACTTCCCCAGCTGTCACCTGTGCTGTGCATCTACCTAATAGTGCAGCTGCCTGGCTCCGTCCTCCGAAACTGCGGCTAAAGGAACTGTGCCTACTTGCATAGGAGGCTGGGCGGCTGGGCAGCCAGGGCAGGAAAAACGCTGGGATTTCCGAGTGCAGGAGCTCTTCTGCCACAAACGCCACCTCAAACCATTTCCTCTGGAAGGCGGAGAAGTCATCCATAGCAGCTGTGTGCCACACAGCAGGCTGCTGCATGCCCACTGAACAAAAAGCAAGGGGAAAGACAGATCACCGTTAGAAACAAGCGTTCAAGATGAAGAAAGAGATGTACTACTTTCTGAAAAAGGGGAAGAAAAAAAATAAGTTATGTTGTCTGCAATTCTTTTTTTTTTTTTTTAACCACAAAGGCTGAGTTTCTTTGACTTTCTTTAGAGCAGTGTTTTTCATTGCTCCCAATGTGCCTTTCTGCTGCAGCACCCGCAAGAATCAAGTACAGCTAGTGATTATGCAAAGGGATAACGAGGAAAGTCTTGTAATATCACAATGCTGACCTCGGTCTGGTTCTTTGTCCACAACAATCTTGTAAAAATAAAAGCCATAAATAAAGGTTCGTAAAGTTTCTCCAGATGCATGGACAATAAGCTGCTCTTCCAGCATTTTCTGAACAAAAAAAGAGAACAGAGCAAACATGATAAAAAAGGAGAAGTCACTCTTCCAGCTACATAAAAAGGTTGCTAGAGAACATTAGGAAATAATTTTCTTTTTCTTGACATCTTTTTGTCCAGATATGTGCCTAACAAGAACATCAGCAATGTTATCTCTTGATACTCAGTAAAGGTAGCAAGTCCTTATCTCCCTAAGAAATTGTGTTTGACCTTTCTGCATATGTCTGCCTTCCTCCCTTACCTTGTTCTGGTTTTATAGATGGATTTATAGGAAGGTAAGAGGTTGGAAACATTCTAGGTTCTCTGCTAATTGATATGGGATCTCAGCAGAGGAATGAGCTCCAAAACATTTCCAACCTTCTGCCCCTGACACAGTTCAATAGGGAAGAAAAAAAATTCATGAACACAAGCAGTGTATCTTGCATAAAGTGTGTATACTTCAGCATCCATAAAAGAGGTCATATGCTGTTATTACAATTTCATTAACTAATTATCAGAAGAAAAACCAAAACTAAAACCAAAAATCAAATCACGCTGTAGTGCCTCATAATTTTAACACAATGGAGAGTTCTTGGTAACTACTAGCTAATTGAAGGTTATACACAGAACTGTCTTCATATATAAGTGGAAAAAAAAAATATATATTGCTACCGAAGAATATGTTGCTGTTTTGTGATAGGGAATCAAAAAAATGTCATCATTACCTCATATTCTGTTGAACACTGTTTTCAATACCTATCAATAAGAGGATTTTAATAAGAAACAGAAAGTACTGCTATGCTTTCCTCTGCAATTCTACTTTCTTCAGAGTGAGGTATTTCTGGCCCTCCATATACCCTTTGATAGTTTTCTTACCTGCATTATGTCAATCGCCATGGCTTGGGTTTGCACACCTTCCACATTATTCACCAGCCAGTGCACAACTTCTGCGCTGATGAAACAGTACGGAGAGAGACCCTTCTGTTCAGAGAGCAGCTGGATCCCTGTGCTGAATCACAGCAAGTCACACATGTTAACGTGGACTGACTGATAGTTCTTTTAAGTCACAAAGACAGAAGTCATTGCTGGGAAAAAAAGGGGGGGACAAAGACACAGGACAAGAAACATACAATGTCCCCAGAATGACATCATTAGCTTCTGATAACAAGATGAAGAGCTGACATTGATAGCACTTTAGTGTCTTACTGAGAATTCTTACTTTGACAAGATTCTGGGATTCTAATAACTGAAGTCTCTGCAGCAATACTCATACCTCAATTTCAATAAAATTCCTTGTTGGAGAGATTGGAACTGAATAACAAAAGGAAGCTTAAAACTCTTCCACAGCTGACATGGGGCTCTCCTTTGAGTGGCTCCATACCTCATGTCCTCTTACAAAACATATAGACAGATAGATGTTAAGTATATTTATATTAAAAAACTTACGTGGGGTGTTTCATGGCTTCGAGAATCTCTATCAAGGTGGAGGAGGAAGTCAGAGTGCTTGCTGAACACTGCTGAGAGCTGGGAAGTAAACAGAAGCATGTTCAAAAATCAAGGAAGCTGCCAGATATGTTCAAATATGTACCTTTAAGAAAAATACTCTCTCTTCTCTTCCTGACAATGACTTTGCCACATGTATTTCCTTTTTCATCTCAAGAAAGACAACTAAAAGCATCAGGCCTGTATTTTCCCCCTGAGGTCGTCAGGTCATTGCTATATTGACCCAGTGCACACTGTATTACATACAGCCGTACTCAGGAGCAATTGAGAGCAAACATTTTGAGGTTGGCTTTTTTTTTTTTTTTTTACTGTAATATACAACTGCAGGAAACAGGTGCTAATATAGTTTATTTTTAATGTTGTTCCCTCCCCGGTGTCTCGCCTCCAGGTTAGAACCTCTTGGATTTCATCAACCTACTCAATCCAATTAGACATGCAGGCCCCCCCCCCTTTGCTAAAACAGACAGAAGACAGATGTCAATTCAAAGTCTGTTTTTCTGCTAATGGATTTCAGAAATGGAATTTCTTCGTTCTTCATTTCTTTAAGAATGAAGCTCTTTGTGGGTGGGGAAATTGGGCCTTGTGTTCATTTAATTCTGGAAAACTGGGTTGCAATGCTTATTTTACTACCACTATTTCTGCATGTGGAAATGCTGCAATAAGGTCTTGTGACAAGTGCCTCCTAGTGCTGACAGACACAGCACATCTTGTTCTCAGATTCCGGTTTAAGTGCCCATTCCTTGACACCAGAAAGGCAAAGGTAACTGAACAGCACTGCAGTATAGTACTGCTGTGCTTTTCTTACCTGCCCTCTGCAGCACCAGCTGTGGTATATCCTTGGTCTGCAACATTCTGGGAACTTCCCAAGGGCTGCGTGTTGCCCCTATCCGATAACTGCCCCGTGTTTATCAATGTGTTGCCATCTGAGGTTGCAGGAACTGACTGATCTATAGAGACCTGCAAGGAGTAAACACAGCAACATCTGCGTGAAATTTATGATGTAATCCGTTTCCCATTTTCTCCCCTCCCCACATCATGTGTACCTCAGCTCAAGTTCGTTAACAACAAGCAATACTACAAGGCAAGCACAAGCATACACAGGATAAATACAGTCTTACTTTTGTCATCACTACAGAGCTACTGACAAACATGAAATTCAGACCCCAGTAAAGATGAGGATCACCAACCCAGCAATAATGGCATTGACAGAACTACTGGCACACCAGCAACACCAGTCCCAACCTGATATTTTCAATTTCAGTGAGTAACTGATTATAAACATGCAATAGACAGAACAGGAAACTTAATCACTATGGGAAAGTAGTAAGCAGTTAGAAAAAATAGTTTCAACTCTAACTCTCAAAAATACACAAACGTATCACAAGGAATTCAAGTTTCATAATGCACAAAATCAGCTTATCTTCCTTCCTTTCTTGGGGTAGTATCAGGAGGCTGGTTGGCACCCACCCACACCTATGTCGCCAAGACAACAAGAACACTTTCCTCCCGCAGGAACACTTACACTATTCCAACGGTAGACTGAATAGTTCACAAAATTAACATAAAATCATTTCAGAAAGAACATGAATGCTGAAAGATTCAGCAGAGTACAGGCTGTAATTGCCATCTGTCATTAACACGTATGGTTTAGGAAAGGCATATTATATAAAAGCTAGAGAGGTGGGGGAGAGAAACACGAACAGCAGAATAATTCAGTAACTCAAGCTGGTGTAAATATGAGGGCTGATCTGCCATGATGAATCCACAGCACATGCACAGCCAAAAAAATCACAAAGCTGGTAGTTTGACTTATGTCTGATAGCCAGACCAGAGTCCTTTATTTATGCCATTTCTCACATCCCAAAGATCTTTCATTCTCCAATGGCAGATGCCCCTTTTTGGACAGCCAAAACCAGCAGATGCTCCAACGTGGAATCTACAGTCCCCACAGCCAGCTAAATCCACTCTCCCTCCTCAGAGCTCTCTTCAACCAGCAGTATTTTCTATGGACACTCTGTGTTATTACTAACTCCTAACTGGTGTTAAGTGTGCAAACAACTTCTGTCACGATGACTCTTTTAAACCAAGATGACACCAATATTTTCAGCCCTCAGTTGTTTAAGAATCCAAGGACACAATTTGACTTGGATCTCCCCAGAGCCACCTGTCAGTCAAATACCACAGAAGAAATTTAGCCAAGAATGAGATGAGTAAGCTGTTGCCATTTTGTTTAGCAAGGGAAGATAGAAAATGAGTACTTAATGAAACACAAAAAGAGAAGCTTCAGTAGTTGACAAGACAGTACTGCAAAGGACAGTAAGGCAGGGCACATGAACATCAAAAGCACAATCACAAACATTGAATGGTGGCAGGAAATAGTCGCATCCACCACCACCAGCCACTTCGTACTGCTAATGCTGTGCATCTCCCTCTCAATGAGCAGATCTGGAAACGAAGACAGGTTCCCCATGTGGCAAGCTCAGGACAACAAATGCTCTCCATCACCTCAGTCCAAAAGCCAGAGATGACGAGACCCCATTCAAAACTAACCTGGGAGTAGAAGGTTGAAGCTGCACGTGGGCTGCGAACAAAATCCATAAAGAAGGCCCCATCCTGAAGGCATCAGAGGAAGTAGGCCCATTAATGGCAACAGCAACAGGAACAAGGAGTTGAAGAAAAGCAAATACAAGGTTGTGCAAGTATGAAATGACTACAGAGAGAAAGTATGAGGAGAATGCAAATCCCAGACCCAGAATGTCAGATGCAGCAGAATGCAGAGCATCAGGAGTTACTCACACACATACCCTTACTTTCTCTCTCTGTAACAAGACATTGTTTTTCCTTAGCACAGATGCTTTTCCAAAGTTTTGAAAACCACACGGAGCAGACGCCAATTGAAACTACAGCCTTCCCTCCACACTTCACAGGAGAAAGACTTGAGCTCTAAAGTATGTAGGTTTCCATCCCAAATGCAAACCTGAATAGTGATACAGAAACCTGTAGAACTGCATGTGTAATGACAAATACCCAAAGAAGGACAGCTTTTTTCCTAGTCTGTCAGTCATTCAAATGACAGAGGAAGAGGCAAAGAAGCTCTTTTCAGGAAGCACACTCTTCCTCTCAAATGCAGGTCTGGTATAGTGCAAAGGAAAGGGAAGAAAAATTCATCACAAAGATCTTTCCAGCATTGTGTTTAATACTTCATGCAAAATTAAACAGACACTGCCTGTGCTATGTCCCCTGCCTACTTGCAAACCCTGGATGAATTTATCCCCAGCTGCTATTCAAAGATGTGTCAAGATTCTCTTATCACATAAGACAATGCAGTGGAACTCAACTAGATTTTCATTTCCTATTTGCAATTCTTTATTCTGTTCCCTAGGCAAAATATTTTTCCTAGTCTGCAGTTAAGATGATGCTTACCCTGGTACGTACATATAAAACATTTTCTGGAAAGAATCAATGCCAGGGTTATATGGCTGGCAATTTACACAGTGCAGAAGCAGAGCCAAGCACCCTGTATCCATAAGGGCAAAGACTTCCCAAACAGATTATGCATCAAGCTAACTCACTGTGTTAAAATCATATTGTATTGCACAGTAACTGGCTGAAGTCACTTGTCAGTTCTGCTCTGAAACAGAGTAAAGGTGGAGCCAGTGGCTCAGTTTTGTTTTGAAATAACTCCAGCACTGAATAGCATCCTGGAAAAGCACTTGCTCCCTTGACTGCTGACAGAGCACACAGCTGTGACAATTTGTCAGTAGTTTGGCTGCAAGTCTCCAGACAGCCAATAGACATACCCATGCTGGTGAGCCCTAAAGGGGTTGTATTGTCCTGGAAACAAGGCACACACTTGCTGATGTTTCCAAGTGAGCACAAAGTTGCCTGATAAGGCTGCCTGTCCGCCAGCACCTTTGCAACAAGCATGAGCTATCAATTTGGAGATCCCAATTTCTTCTTTCCCAGTCCCTGTGTGTAAATATTTATAGGAGTGTTTACTACTGTAGTGTGAAAGGCTTTCAATTGGTAAAGCACTCTTCCGGATTCTCCAGTTAGACCTCCAGAGAGGCTTTTCAATACAGTTACTTTTAAAATTACACAAGATTGCATTTGCTTATTAGCATTAACTGGTAGCACAAAGTCTGCTGCTTTGTTTCCAACACACTAGCATGCCATTGCTAAGGAAGCCAGTTTTGCCTTTTTCCCTCTGCCACGCAGAACAACCGGACACAACATTCTTCTGTCCTGTGTCCTACATGGAAATTTCACCAGTTTTAGTCATAGAAAGATACTTACAATTTCTGTATTTAAAGAGGGAAGTTTTATGAAATTGATTTTCCAAAATGGTAGAAGAGAAGAATGCAAAGCCTGAATTATGATCTGGAAGTTTGCAAACATGCCTCAAGTTAATTTCTGTACCTACTTTTTCCAAGCCTAGCATGACCTGCTCCAGAATCTCATCTGTGTTTTGGAAACACTCTCAATCTACAAATAGGTATCTATTACTAAGATCTTACTCTATCACTTCAACTAGAAATATCCAGGTCTCCAGAATAACACAACACTTGGCCCTGGTGGTGGCAGAAAAGGGTGGATGTCAAAATACTAGATGCTAAGAGAAAAATACTGAAAGAGATGGTTAAGTTGATAGTGGGGAATCTGAGAACTTTTTCTTTGCAATACTTCAACTGTTGAACCCAAAGACAGGTCACACTTAAGTGTTGTATGCTTGTTCAGTTCCTTGTAACTTCTACTGAAAGACCTTCATGCCAGAATACAGAAAAATAATCAAATATTTCTGGTTGGTCTTGAAGGTGGAGTTTCTGCTATCCTGGCACTCACAGGACAGTTGACAGGAAGGCTGAAGGATAGTACAGTCTTTTCTTTAAGTGTCTGAAGAGAGCTCCAGGAAGACAGTTTTCTCCAGCCTGGAGTCCAGCCAGTGAAGGAATGACATCTAAATCACTACTCAGGAACACATCCTCTCCTCTAAGCAGATGCAAGTGACTGGAGTTCCTGCTGTTAAAATTCCACTGAAGCTTTACACAGCCATGGTCTAGAGTTTGATTTTGCTCTTAAAGACAGCTTTCATATAGATGCAGACAGCACTGTAGTACTAAATCTAAAAATCAAACCCTGACTGAAATGAAATGTGCTACCAGAAAAGGAAATGGACTAATTAACAAATACCACTTAAATCAAAGGACAGTTGTGCCCCAACCTCTTCTTATGCCCTTGCACGCAAAGGCTGAAGGGCATCCTGGTACAGGACCAGTCCTTGCTGGATTAGAGTAAGATGTGGTATGATGTGAGACATGTGCTCAGAGAAGTAATCTATTATTTGAGAAATTCTTATGTAAAAATAGTAGCTAAAGAAAGGCCAGAAAGTCTTTACCTTACGAGGGCTGTCCATATAGGTGGGTGTGATAGCAATGCTCCCACTCTCTGAAGGCTGCCCAGAGCTCTTCCCAGAAAGCACTGCTGCTTGCTGCTCCCCCAGTGTCCTAAAACAAAAGGAAGGAAATCAAACATACTCTGTGTCAGCTTCCATCTGAAGGCAACTGTTACAGAGGGGTACTACTGTATTCTCAGACATTTGCTTTCCCACACCCTGAAGTAGAGTCAATCCAATGTTCTGTAAGTACTTTTTACCCCACATAAATAACATGGACCCTTGAACTTACTCAGTTTTATTATGCATGTATAATACTACCTTATCATTAAAAAATATTAAAATCTCTTATATGTTTAACAGCAACAATGTTTTAAATTGTGTTTACAGTGTATCTGGTATTAGTACTCTGAGTTTCTTTGAACCATTCTAGATCAATACTGAAAAAGAACCTCAGAAGTTTCACAGGTATTTTAATAGATTTTTTCAGCGCAGACAAGCTATTTTCTTTAGGCTATATTTGTTAACCAATGTTTATACTGAGGCCACTCAACTGGTGTGGTGTACTGGTGTACACTTCTGTCCCAGTTAAGCTGCTCTTATGTGGATACAACTGTACAGGCAAATCACAGACAGATGACAAATCTGACGTGTAATGGACGGAGATGCTATTTAAAAAGAGGCTCCTTCTAAATTACTGGACATTTGCTTCTCTAGCCTCCATGTCCCCTTCTCATCTTTGGTACTCATTCTATTAATGGAAACATAATACAAGGAAGTCACTGGAAAAGCCCAAGTATTTCCCCAGCCCTGCTACAAGGATACTAAAGAAGCAGGATCCCTGCCTTTTTCAAGGCAAAGTTCCCCAAATCTGCTTTAGCCAGCCCAGGTGCAATACATAGGAAGGATGTTCTAGTGCTCTTCACACAGCCTAGCTGTAGAGACTCACTTCTGACTGGCTTCCATCTGCAACAGAGCTGAGAGTGCTGAGGTTCCTTTCTTCCCAATGGGAGGCCCAGACTGCTCCAGAGAGTGGGTGGGAATTGGACCAGCAATCTGTAAGCCTTTCATGGCAGACCCCTTCTAACAAAGAAAAAAGGAAAGCACAGACTTAGTCAAGCTAGGCTTAACTAGTAAGCAAGAACACAACACCAAGTCAGCAGGGCTTTATTAGGTACACTTTAAAAAGGGAGTTAAACCATAGGTACACAAGAAATGGAACAGCCTAGTGTCTTGAGTGGATGCTATTCTCAAAATAAAATGGATGTTATTTTGGAAAAGGTGGATTTGCTCTGAAATAAATTACCCCATTCAGTGTGTGAATTGGAAGAGAATTTGATAACACACTAACTCGTTTCTCATCACCCTCTTGAAACTACTGTTCACCAGGAACTCAGCCATATGGTTCTCTTTTCACAATTCTTTTCCTAAGTCAGCAATACACAGCCAACCCAGCTAGAAGTTACCAGCCTACCTACCTCACAGATCCCTTTTTATCAATTATCTGCATCACAAGGTGCAATAATGTGTCCAGGCTAACCGTATCTACAGCACAAAGCAATGCACATTTGCAAAGAGGCTTGTGGTAAGAGGAGACCAGCTGAGGAAAAAAATAGAGCACCAACAGGCTAAGGCATGGCTGTGCTATGCAGAAGAGCTTGGCTTCTCATTGAGTGAGCTAACTGTTCTGATTCTGGTTCCAGCCATAGCAGCATGGGATACCCATTCCAGGTATATTTTAATTAGTTCAAGAATAGCAAGGTGTTAACAAGGCCATACTGCTTGAAATCTGAAATAGTACGTCAGTCAACATTGTGCTTTATGTATGGATTACCCACACATACACCCCCCAGCTTGCTTGGGATTGTCTCAGGGTCTCTCTGCTAATGCTTCCTTAGATGGTTCAGATAAAACTCAAACTCAGCTTCTCACCCAACTAAAAGATGACTCACTCGAATCATTCGATCAGATCGATGGCGTCGACGAATGCGGTTCAAACCCTCCACAAAACGAATGAATCCATCTAGGAGCTGCCACTCCTCCTCATCAGAACGGGGCTTATCACCATACACATCGCAGTGCACTTCTCCTTCCATAATGCGCTTTGTGGCACTGATGCAGGCAGGAAGAAGCAGAAAGCGGGTCCTCCAAAATTTCAGTGACTCAATAAGGCTGAAGAAACATGGAAGACAGGACAGAGTTCAGCACAGTTTCCTATGAAGGATTTTACAGTAAGTAAAATAGATATCTATCTGCTGTAAATTTCAGAAAGTATAGTGACAATCTCATTCTGCTATCCCTGAGTGAGAAAGAGTAGATATGCAAAGGAATGGTCAGCAATATGAAAATCACTGGGAAGTATTAAAACATTGATACACAGAAGAGAAAACAAGGCTATCTTCAGAGTAATTGTATCAGAGAGATGTATTTTCTTTTCTGTAAGACAGACTACAAAGGTTTTCTCTCTAAAAATAAGCAAAGAAAAAGGAATTTTAAAAGGTACACATTAGAGTAGGAGGCATTTTGACTGAGACCTGAAAAGAAATAAAGATAAAGACAGACTGGTTTTGTTGAGAGAAGATATCAAAAAGGCTATTGATACTAGTGGAGATACTCCACACATCTAATAAGAAGCCCTGCTCTACATAGCTTAGGAGTAGGACTACAGTCAAGCTAAGCCTAGGATTCAAGCAAGCCTCCAACAGATTCAAACTAAATGGAAGTTTTGAGTCAGATCCAGAAATGAATAAGAAGCCAAGAAAAGCATCTGTATGGTACAAAATGCTGTCATATTTCTTCACATTTGTAGTGGAGGAAAAAAAAATAGTTCATGCTGAATTTTGTGATCGAGACTGTGTATCAAAGATCAGATAATGCAACAGTAATACAGAGTAAGATTCCTACAAGGCTACAGCTGCTAGCACCATACAAGTGAAAGCAGGCCAGTTACTCTCCCTGGAGTACTGAGCAGTTGTGGGTTGAACTTGTTGAAGGAATTTTAGGTCAAAACAGAAAAGAGGCAATTAGGACACAGAACAGTCTGGATGGAAAAGGAGATCTCACCTGAAGTCCTCAGAACCAGCAGAACAGATATACTGATCCAAGTAATTCCACTTGTACTCTTCTAGTCTCTCATGGGAAAATTCTACCCAGCAAGAGACAAATTCAGAGTCAGAGTGTGAGGGGCACAAGCTGTATGTGTAGTTTATCTGAGCAGATTCATATGGATACCTAAAAGAGAAAATGCAAATACTAATCTCAGCATCATCAATAGCAGTGCTCCTCTTTCTTCTAAAGACAAAGAAGGTTCTACAGTATGTTCTTTCAAGCAAGTACAGGCAGCTGGAAAAGCATGTTCATCTGAACATTGACAACAAACTGCTCAACCAGAGAGATACTCACTTTGGCAGGTATCGAGTTACAGTAATTATTTTGTCTTTTAATGTTACTTTGTGGAAAGTACGGCCCATACTCAGCCAGTACTGATCTTCTTCCTCAGGTCGATTTCTTGATACAAGACCTAATTGTAAAAAGCAAAACACACACCTTTTCAGCTTACTGCAATAATCAGAACTTTGTCAACAAACTGTATTTATAGAAAGAGACTCCAGAATTGGGCTTCTGAACTCAAGACAAACTAAAAGCCATGTTTCAGGCCATTTTTTTAAGGAACATATGCACAATGAGCCTTTTGTTCTTACAGTTAAGATTTGCTAGTATCACAGCCGAAGAAGGTCATTCACAATTCATATACCACCAATATAGACCTTCTCTAGTCAGGACAACTAGAGAACAGACAATATGAAGTGTTGAGAAACTGGTGGGTATGATGATAAAGCTGGGTTCCACTTTTGCTTCCTCTCTGTGCTTCATTACTGGAACTAACCACTTAGGTTGGCACTTTACCCAAGGAGCCTTGCTGCTCATTCCTAAACCAGTGAATAACAACCATATCCTATTCATGTGTTTTCCCTGCTCTGTGAACACTGTATCACGCTGAGTTGTCTCAAGAATATCAAGAAAAAAAAGTCAGAAGTCAAACAGTAATTCAGATTCTCTCAAGGGAATATGATACCCTCTTAACCCACTCCAGTCCTCTGGGGTTTAACTAGGTTTATCTGACTCATGGTTTCAGGACAATGAAGATTTACTTGTCTACCTGGGACCTCCACAGCTATTTTAGAGTTAGGAAACTGCTTCTGGATACATACATTTGGGAGCTTTGGGTCTGTCTTCTTCTAGAGAAGTCCCTGCCCTGCAGTTCCTGTGTGAATTGTGTTTAAGATGTATTCACCCAAACAGCACTCAAGCCATACTTCATTTGGGTTCACCATCATGAATATGAGGCCGGTTTCTTATTACAGTTCAAAAATCCTGCACCTGTCCCTTCATGGTGCAGCTGAGTTGTTTGTGCTGCCCCAGGGATAAGGCGCTCTCCCATCAAAGATTTTCATATAACAACAACAAAAAAAAAAAAGAACAGAGGGCTTCAATGAGCATCTATGCCCAATTCATAGAGGTTACTGGGATTGGCAGAAGGAGAGAAAGACAAAAGACTGAATTGTCAATACAAAGTCACTCACCTCGACTGTAAAGGGGACTGCTGCTGAGCGGGGGTGGCACAGTGGTGGCTGGTTTCTGTGGTTTGGACTGCACAATAATTTGATAGCCTTGCATGAGACGCTGACAAATAAACTCCTCAAACACCTGTTGGGCCGTCATCTGCACTCCTTCCTCATCTCTCCTGAACACAAAGGTGAAGGAGACTAGAATAAGGAAGCTGACCACACACCTATTCTTAGCTCTGTGTTTCCTAACTGAGGATTTATGCCTGCACTGGGCTCTGCGCAAGTGGAGCCCTCTGCCTGTGAAAACGCACCTGCAGGAACAGGAGAGAAAAATGGGTACCTTTCTGTTCTAAACAAGTGATGATTAGCTGTCTGGCAATACTTATTAATGCCTTTGAAAGCAGTTTTGCAACTAGTAACAAATTTGCTTACTACAGTTGTTAAACTTCCAAAAATTTCACCAATGATCACTTTTACAGCATTTTTCACAGAATCTCAGTGCAGTTTGTAAATGTTAGCAGAGCTCAGAACTGCAAGTGTGCAGGCAATGCTCCAGTCCCTCCCACAGCGGGAAGTCTAGAGCAGAGAGAGATTAAAAGACACATCACTATGGCATCTTATTACAACTACTTCTGCCCTGAACTTTGCCTTCCTGCTATAAAGGGACATTTGACATTTATTTTAGCTGTTTCTTCATTAATCCTATTTCCTATGTATTTTGATCACCCTGAATAATATTTTTGTTTTGTTCCCATAAAACAGCAACATGAACAGGTCTTTCTCATTTCTTACAAGTTGTGGGAAGTTTGAAAAATGTTTAAGATGAGACAGCTTCAGAAAAAAACCAAACCAACCCTATTAAAGAATAGTTACCAGAGACCTCCAAGACAAGTCGAGAAGTTCTATTTATCCCACTAACGCTATTTTCCACCAAGATTCTTTAAACTAAATATCCCTGAAAGTGAGGACAAGCATCTTAAACCCTGTGTGTACACATGCATTTGCTCATTTAGCGTTTCCAAAATACTTGCTAGAAAATAGATTAACAAAGATGATAGCTTGACATTGGGTTTTTTGATTGAAACACAACAGAACAAGAAGAGATGTAAAATTTTGTATGCAAACCATTTCCAACATAAAATCTACAGAATACAATACTGTCAAGATGGTAACATCGGAAAAGGTGTGAAGTTACCACTGAAAAGAGAAAAATCTAAGTATTCTGCTGCTAACTATGGTAGCAATTCATCCCTCTCGTACAGTCTCCAAAGTGTTCCTCTTCCATCAACTGCGCCTTAAGCACTTTGACTCAATGCAAGTTATTTTACAGAGAAGGTGCTGGCCAAACCTGTCAATGTCAGCTTCTGGGAGGAGATCATAGCAACCCTCAGTGTAATCATTCTGCAGACTCTGACGGTCGGGGAAGTAGTCCGTGGTAAGAGGGAGACATGCCGGAGTAGTGAGAGATTTCCAGTCCACTCCAACTGTACAACAGAAGCCTGGCACTACGGGGGGAGCAGACAGCGTCAGAACTGCCTCGTTGTATCATTGGGGGGGCAGACAATGGGGGCATATATGGTCACCCATGAAAAAATAGGGTGCAGAGGAAGATGAAAGAAATGTGTGAAAAGGAAAGTTAGAAAGAATGAGAGACAAAACCAGAGTTGGCATAAAGTCAACAGGGACAAAAAGGGGGTGGAATGGAAAGGGAAAAGGAAAGTAGGACGGGAAGAAGGGAGGGAGAGAAAGAGACAGAGTTTGTTAAACAATGCAGTGCACATGCTAATTCAATCCTGTCATGCAAATGGCATTCAAAGTTAATAAATTTAATTTTCTGTTGATTGAAAGCTAGAGCTGACATAGCCACCATTCTTCCCAAATTACAGCAAGTCAGGTGCAGTTACTCATTATTAATAAAACAGATCAACATTGCAAGTCTGAACAAGAAAATCAGACCAGCTTTGCATCCTAGACAAGTGCAGAAGGAGCTGGGGATGAGGAGAGAAAGAATGACAGACCAGCCTCTTTCTCGAACAGTACAACAGCAGAAAAGGGAGTATTTCTACAGTTATAAAAACAGAAGACAGATCCAGAGGGGTGGGAAGACCAGAAAAATAGTAACTTGGAAAGCAATCCTTCCCCACACCCTTTCCTAGACTTATGTTGCAGTTTTGAGATTAGAGAGATCTAAAACTAGACATTAAAAAGCAAAAGCTAACTAAATTGTATCAAATCATCAGTTCACTACTGCACTACATTCTAACCTGCCTCAAATGATCTGTATCAAGGCACTTGGCCAACTATTAATTCTTAACTTCTTGTCATAGAGATCTTAGAGACAGAAAGTTATTTTACTATAAAAATGTTAACATCAATGGCAGGAACACTGCACTAGAAAGTAATGCAGTACAGACTGCTATAAAGAAAATGTTTTCTTAAGCAGTCAGACACTTGTTTCTGTATTAGATGAAGACAGATATTTCTCAATAAACAGTACCAAATTCAGAAACTGAGTGTACTACTTCTACTTCCAATTAGCTGGTGCCAAGCAAACTTTTCATACTGAGAAGCAGGTAAGAGTTCAGCAGCTTTAGCTTTTTGCATAATAGTGTCTGGTAAGGAAAGAATTTCAGATGTAATATGACAACCAGTTTCACATATTGTTAAGAGATACAGAACTGCAATCACAGTGAGATACACAGTACAGGGAGATGCTGCAAATTACTGCAGGGCAAAATAAACTACTGCCAAAAGCCAAGTAGGCTCCTCAGTTTCTTGCCTACCACCTCCTGATGCCTCCATATATGTACATACCCTTTCCCTCCCTGTCTTCCCACTCATACAAACTCTTTTCCAAACCTTTCTCCTGCTTACTTGGATCTGGAGAGTTAGAGACAACATCTTCTAAGGAATCCTTATTCTGAGTTTTGAGGTTCATCCCTATAAGAAAGAAATATGTATTTTAAGCAATTACGCACTTCACTTTCATTTCAAATAGAAATAAATCAAAAGCATGCAAATGTTTTAAGAATACGACATTTCTCTCATTGGAAAGAACTCAGGGTTCTGCACAGCAGAAAAATACACAAAGCCAACTAATGAGGAAAAAAAAAAGACATCTTGGATGAAATTCTAACAGTTCATTAGAAGTGTTCAGTAGCTAAAAAACAAGCAAAACCAACCTCCCCAAAATGGTGAAACACATCTTGGAAAGTAGATGCCATAAAAAAGCAAATAACAAAAAAAGAAGAGTCACCTGTAATCATTTAGCTTGCTAATCTCAAGGTCTCAGCAGCTAAGTACTTTTAACTGCATTCAATACTTGAAACCAGAATCTTTTTTACTGGTTTCTTCATTTTATGAACAAAGGATAAGTTAAGACAAAGAATTTCATAAAACACAGGAGCAGCAAGAAAGGAAATTACAACAGACTTTCACCTGGTGGGAGAAGAGAACCCCTATATAAGATTCCAATTATCTAAGACTCTAAAGAATCTAAGTAATTTATGAAAACCATGATACAGATTTCCTCCAATTCCAACATTTTTAGGCATAAACTACCAGTACACATCTCACCTCTCTGCCAGGGGGCGGGGAGGAGACAAAACAACAGTTGATCTTCTTGATTCAGCAAATACAAACTACCTTTTTATCCCTTGCCAGGCTAAAAATTTGAAAAGTATTAATTAAGCCTTCAGTGCCCCTAAATAGGTCCAATATATTAATTACAGACTGTTTAAAACTACCATGTTCTGAAAAGGCAGCAACTTCCATTATGTTTCAACCTGTAAGATATACCTTAGTCCATACTTCACTAAGAATAGTAAGGAAGTTTTTATTCATTGTGAAAGGAGATAAAATGATAGCTATTGAAGAGATGCTCAGTTTTTGAGCAAAATTCAGTTTATTCAGTTCATACTAACTTTAAATAAAGACTAATAAGGTACTTAAGACTAATGAAAATTTATATTTAAGTTTTGACTGGGATCCCAAAACTGGGATTTTTCTCACTGTCAACTGGATTCGTGCTAAGCAGCCTATTAACCTGGAAAACAGATGCTAAAACTACAGCTCAGTGAACACTAAGCCAACATGATGCTATGGTACCCCTTGACCAGTTCTTCCTAGTCCCCCTTTCACATCTGTCTGCTGTATTTGCACCAATATTTGTGTAGTTACAGTGAAACAATCCATATAGCAAAGAAAAACCCCAGTTACTCTTCATTTGGATCAGTTCCCTGAGATGGTTCACCATGTAGCTGTATAAACAGCCGTTGTGGCACATGAGAGGAAATGAGCAGCTAAGGAGACAAGAAAAATTGCTGGCTTAAAAGGCATTTATCAAAACACAAATTTCAGGAAGCCTCCAAACATTTAAAAGGAGTCATTTTTATAAAACTAGTTTATGTAGATTTATCCAGGAAATTGATATCAACATCATAGCTGTTACTCTAAATAGCATTTACTAACAGAAAGGATGGTTATCTGCTTCCATGATGATGCCAGTAAAACAGTAGAGGAGCTGGCTCAAATTGGCATTCATCTTCCACCAACTCCACTGATGCCATCTGCCATCTAGTTAGGGAATTGCAACAAGATTTATTTGCTCTGAACTATCATCTACCATCTGCTGGACAATAGAGACAACATACTGAATGTCAATGTAAATAGATGGAATGATTTTTCACTGTGAAGCGCATGTTGCAGCAAAACATGCTGTGGGCAGCAGAGGAGAACCAGACTCACTGAGAAATCATATTTTTGGAAATAAAAAAAAAAAAATCCACTACAACTGTTTCATTTCATAGGTGACTCAAACCATAAGGGAGAAACATAAGTCAAATCATTGAGTCACAGTGTGGCAGCTACAGATGGCTGAGGGTGTTTAGTCAGGGAAGGTGCTCATAACGACTTTCAAAGACAGACACGGATTAACTTCCACCACATACATGATTTATATCCAATCTACAGACACAAAAGACTTCTATAAAATGCAAGCATGTTTATTGCCACAATATGCTCTGCATCTATATTGTGCAAATTGTATCCAGCAGCTGAAATGCAGTTTAGCAATTGTGAGAACAAACAAAGACTATCTGGAAGGCAGGGGGGAAAAAAAAAAGTAAAGCAAGAAAATTAGATGTATTCAGATGAAATCCACAGAAAGAAACAACAGAACAAAATCACTTTTAATGTGACTACATGAACATAAGACAAGAGAGACACAAGAAAATCGAGTCTGCTAACTTCTTATGGCTCTTCAAAGTATGAGCATAGGGGAAAACATACTTGTTTTCATCCAAATGTAATTCAGAAGGGTGATTTTTTTTCTTTTTTAAATAATCTTTAAATTGGTTTTGAAGAAAGAAGTCTTGAATGCTAGAGTCCAAAAGATCAATTTTTTTTTTCCATGTGCCTATCTAAAAAGCATGTCAATAAAATCAGAAGGTAGGTTGCAAAAAAACAGACAACACAACAGAATGGTTACTGTGGCACGTAGTTCAACTTACAGGATTCAAAAGAAATGTTGAAAATTTCCACTAATTCAGGTGTCTGGGTAAGGTAAGAAAGACAGTGCTAATCTTCAACTGAAAGTACAGATATGTGTCTTCTCTCAAAAATGAAATATTTTGGGCTGTGCGAGTAACATTTAGTATAAGCAGTGCCATGTTCAAAGTGCCTAAAATCTGGAGAAAGTGCATTTGTAGATAATGACAAGAAATGCTAGAAACACTGAATCCCAGAACTTACCACGCAAAATAATAATAAAAAAAAAAATATTCAAACAAGTTTCTTAATCCAAAGGGGGACACCTTAAGGCAACCCCACCCAGAAGAAAAAGTTCTGAACAAAACCAGTGCATATTTAGTTATTTTTTGTGTCTGGATGTCAGTGCTTTGTTATTATGGAACTAAGCAACTGCCTGAGAGATTATCACATGCAAACAGTGAGCATCTTTCTATACTAAAGTTTGTAAGACATCCCTAGAGAAGTAGACACACATCAAACAAAAACAAAAAAAACCCCAAACCAACAAACCAACCCAAAAAAATACCACACACCAAAAAGTCCAAGTAAGAGCATTCACAGACCAAAGTTGAAAACTGTTTTTCCATTATTGATTCTTTCTATTTTGTAATGCCTGGCCCGCCCACCTTCCATGACAGATGGCTCTATTACTTTGTCACTGCTAATAAGGAAGGGCCTTCTCTCCCAACTCCATGCTCTATCATTGCTTTGTTACCTGCACCATTGCTTCCAGCCAGACCATTAGAGTACTCTTCTGTTTGGCTGAAGCTCAGGAAAGAGGCACTGTCACCTGGATGCCGAGAACTGGTATGTCTGGAGAAAAACAAAATAGCCTGTATTACACAAACTTTCTTCACTCATGCCATTCCTTGCTTTTAACAAGAGCTGATATAACAAATAACAAGTAATCAGCCTGCCATCTCAGCTAAGCCAGTGGTGAAACCATGCTCTTAATGATGTTTGCAGAGATGGTAATAGGCACAAAAACAGCACGGAGAAGGCTGTAACAATATTCCGTATCTGTCCATACTGTTTGTTCTTTGCCTCTAGCACTAACCAAAGCACTATGTTCACAGGGCAGTGGAAAACCAGCTACTCATATACCTCCCAGAAGAGAAATAAAACTTAGCTAGTTATTTACAGATCTGATTTCATGGTCTATAAAACCAATATTCCAGACTGAGCATATTGCTTTGGATAAGTACATCATCCACAGAGACCACAGAGAGATCAAGAAAAGAATTGTCAAGAAAATTACATGAGACTGGCGTTAATTACAAGATACTTTAGCACACTAGGATATACTTACAAAGTAAATAAAAAGGCAATTTTTTTTTTAAAGTAGAACTAGGGAACAAAGTTGGTGAGGATGATGTCATATTAAAATTATACAACACAGAAAGATTAGAGTATTCTAAAGGGCAATACAAAGTATAAGATCGGACAACAATTTTCCTATAAAAAGGAAAAAAAAAAAAAAAAGCATGAAAGACTAATTAGGCAGTGCAATTTCCTGAAGGACTGCTTGAAGATAGCAGGAAAAAAAAACCCAAAGATGAAAAAGGCAGAAGGTACCAGCAGTGTCCTCACTCACCCTGGACATCCAGAAACAATATGTAACACAAATTTCTATAAGCATACCAGAGGGAAGAAACACAATGCAGGAAAGATACCAAAGTTAATGATGAAAGAGACAAACTTATTGGCAATTCTAAAGTTGCCTAAGCTACCAAGATGTTTCTGGTAAACAACATTTAATAATGACTGAAAAACATGGCCAAAATATTGTCAATAAAAAAATAATCAGATAAAACACGGGTAAGACAGTATCTGGAGATTGGTTAACAACTGCACGGCTTGAAAAATGGCCTAGGTGAAGTGAAAGATCTAATTTCTCTCACTGTAAAACCAGCCTCCCCACAACCATGCCACATCCAGCAACGCTGGGATCTTTTTCACTTCTCAGAGCCAACAATCAATATAAGCTTCCAACACTGACCAAAGCTTGTTTTTTTAAAAGAAAACTAGTTTACGAACACAGATACTTTCATTTGCAGTCCATCCCCGATGTTTATGACGGCTGTACTTCTTACATGGGGAAGACAGGACTGAATGGATAGCACTGAAATTGCTCAACAGTTACTGTGAGGCAAAGCTATGCCCTTTGCTAAAAAAATGTGCTGTTCTGGGACGAAGGTCACAGTATTGGGAGAATAAGTCAAGAATTAAAGACACAGGCTTTTATAAGGCAATTTTCAACAATTACATGAATTACACATCGTATTGCTTGTGCACTGCAAACTCTCTGTGATAAACTACCACCTTCCCCAACTTAGGGGAGGTAAACCATCTCCAGCCTTGCCAAAAGACCTTTATATCTCAAAAGTATATCCTGCATATGTGGCACTGACACAACATATTATTACACTTAAACATCACAACCTGTAACTGCCTTACTGTAACATGTATAATATTTTAAGGAAAAGGGACGTTCATGCAACCTCTACACAGATTCATCCTAAGGACCTCACCTGCCAGTTGCCTCATGGTAAGCCAGCTCCAGCAGCTCAGCAGAGGAATGTGTCAAATCCTGCTGCCCATTGCCCTGCATTTCCGCCATATTCTGACGGGTTTGATGATGGATCTGGATAGCTTCTCCTGATGGACCTACAGTTACAGTTTGATGATTAATCACCTCATCTGCATTGATTCCTCAGTTGCTTCTAACCTCCTTTTGTCAACACTACAGGCAATGCTAACGGAAATTAAGAAAACATGTTTACGAAATCGTCAAAGACTTGAACCTCTGGCATCTTCTCTGAAGTCAGTAAAGCAGAATATTCTTTTAAACATTTTGGAGGGCCTGCTTACAAGGCGCTAAACAAATACGAGAACAATTCTGTATCTGAAAGTCAACCCAAATTATAGTTATGATTCACTATAACAGCCTCCATCTACTATAAGACTGTTCCACAGTACCTGATGCTGCAAGTTTGCCAATAGATTGTAATATTTTCAAAAAAAAGGATCTCTGATTTACCAAGCCTATACACTTAGTTCAGCCTCTGTTACAGTGCAGAGTACTTCAAGATGCCAGAGTTCACGTTGGTTCTTTTGTTGTGTTAATGTTTGGACAAGGAAAAAGTAACAGCAATCTAACATGCTATGAAACACTTACCCACAGGAAAAGTGTGCATCCAGCGCCTCCTGTTAGATGTAAGTTTCATGGGCATGCGGGATGGGGCAAACGGGTTTATCAGTGCTCGCTGGGGTGTATACCCCCCAGGCCGAATATGCAGCATGGATTCTGCACTGCCAACATGAAACCTCCCAGGGGCACTGGAGTCACGTTGCTGAGACTCCAGCATGTGCTCCAGGACATCTAGAAAACACAACTTAAAGTCAGTGTGAGATCATGCAGAAGCCACGCAAAAGAGAATGAATTGCTTAGTGATATAAAGATTCCCCAGGGTAAGTGGGAGTAAGGAATGCTGAGGAGCAGGCAGGCAGGGAGAGAAGCTGAAAGCAATTCCAATCCAGTCTGCAAGTTACAACATAAACAAGAATCCGGACAAGAAAGAATATTATTTCATCTGCCATTGCAGCATTGCTCTATACTGTGTCACTTTATACTAAATGAAGCCATAATGAAACCACTTGCTAAGTCAACTATGAAGAATTACTCAGAGCTTTGAGAATTCCTGAGAAATCAAAAGGCTGACACACCAGAAACTTTAGGATGAGTACCAAAGACATATCAAAGACATAGCTACAACTGAGCAACATACACCTTTTTTGTAACATTCAGATTTGACCACTGACATAAGGGATTACTTCAGGAAGACATGGGACACAATCTCAGCAAGCTAGCAGTTAGTCACTACTGTTCAATGTAGAACATCAGTACAGTTATTTAGAAATAGGAGAGAGAAATAAACCAGAAGACTAAGTAGCAATTACTCTGTTCAACAAATGGAAATCCCAAAGAGAAAGAAGGGTCTCATTTACCACTCTATACTGCCAACCAGAATATGTGAAAAACCTCAATTACTCTGACTCTTCCCTCCCTGCCAGTCCTATTCCACACACATTCCCACTCAGTTGCACACCTTCAGATGGGTCACAAGACTATCCTTCAAACAAAAGGAGTATAAACAAAACGTGTATATTAACTGACAGCAGGGGAAAACATGAAAGGCAAATGTAATGTGAAGTACACCGTTTGACAGCAGTTCCACACCAGTAAATCCAATTCCTGTAACAGGATAAATATGGTATCATGTGTCATACAGTGTGACATAAAAAAAACCATAAAGAGCCCTCAGGGATAGATTTTTACAGAAGATCAGGCAATTGCAGAAGGAATACAATTTACCTAGAAATAAGCTGGGTTTGTGGAAGATACCACATACTGTCTGAGAACAAAATTAAATTGGAAGGAAAAAAAGGAGACTGTCAGTACTGCTAACACACCAAGATAGCTCAGCAGTACATTGTCAAAAGGAAAGATCCAGAAAGTGACTCTTAATGACAACAAATCCCCATAGAGAAAAGTTATAAGCAGGAGCCCCCAGGGCTCACTACTAAGGCCAATTCTCATTTGACAGATTATAGGTGACCTGGATAATAAAAAGTTACTTGTATATGTCCACATTTGCAGGCAGGCACAAGAGAATAGTCAAATATTAAAGAAGGCAATAGACAAGGGAAAAGAGCAAATCAGTGTCAGGACACTTCTATTTAGGACAAGCCAATAAAAAAAAGCAATGGAATTGGACAAGGATAACAAAGGGAAAATGCACATCCAGCCACAGCTGGAGCTGCGGAAAAGGTGTACCATGAATGCTAATATAAGCACCATCTCCCCTGTGCTGCCTGGCAGTGGCCAGCACAAACTTCCATCTTCTGTCTCCCCTCTCACCACCTAAGGTACTTTCCCATCTGCCTTAGGCTGACCTCTGGTGCTGGTATAGCCCAAAGAGCTGCTGACTTCACACTGGTGCAGATGAGGCCGTGGGATCATCAGGATGTTGGAGATTTTGCCCAGTGAGCTGTCATCAGAAGCCTGGCTCCTCACCTCCTCTGGGGGCAGCGTGCGGCTCTGCAGAGAAGGGCTGCATGAGACGTCATAGGAACTAGAGCTCTTTCTGGTACGACTTTCTCTCTCCCTCACGGACCTGCTGAAAACAAACAGATATGTCCAGTGGTATGAAAAAGAGATTAATTCCTGGGTTATCAAGGATAATGTGGGCTTGAACAGGCCCAAGGCATGTAAAAGACTCAGTACTCAATAGGTGAACTCAAGAAGAGGACTACAAGGAAGCTATTTCTATTTTTTTTACTATGTGGGTACCATATACTTTTGTGCATCATACAATAGGAGAACAGAACACTAAAATGCTTCCAGCACAATGGCTGTGAAAAGAGCATGCTCAACTCTTTATGTAATTCTACAGACACCACACCAAACTGGTAATTTAGATGTGGTCTAGAAGATACTAGACCTGAGCCTACAGTGCTAGGAACACATAGCTATAGGGAAACTACTTGGAATTATTAACTACATTAAATCGTACTGCCATCTTCCAGCATGGATTTCTACAAGCTGTTCATATTAACAAGTGAGTCCGTATGCACAGCTTCCTCAGATTTAGGCAATACTACTGAAAGAAGGAAAGCAAAAAGAAATACTTCAAAACAAGTTCATCAATCCTGTATTCCTGAAAAAGCACTAAAATTTATAGGTTGTTCAATTAATTTGGCCAGGACCTGAGGATAATTAGCCTTTCTTCTCAGAGGAAAGGCCATAGAATATTTGAGAACCTGCACTCAGCTTCTCTGTTTCTTCTCTCATTCAGAAAAACACCATTTTCAGGGAAGATACCCCATCACTCTATGTTCAGCACCATTTACTAATCAGCGCATCAAACTAATGCTATTTCTACAGCTCTGTGCAAGTCTATTGTGCGAGTACTTTCTTACCCAGCTTGCAAAATCTCCTATAAACTTAGCAAAGAAGACTAGCTTCATTCTACTTCAGACAAAATTAAAGATGTAAGGAACAAGTATACTTATGCTTTTTCTTAGATCCCACGCACTATCTTAGAAGTAGAATACCAGACAGCCAGCCATAAATGCTAGCTACAGATAAAGCTTTTTGTTCAACTGTAAGCACATGGAGCTTAATTCTCCTTATATTTCTCAAAGCATTTTATGCATCAAGAAATACACCATAACATGGCTACTCTAGAACTAGTACACTCACAAGCCTCTTACCTGAAAGTGGTACAGCGCTGGGCTCTGGATGGGCCTGGCAGTCTGAACACCTGGGCATCATAGCCATCATAATCTACCTGGATAGGCAGGGCATTCTCAGCATCTTTTGGAGCCCCTAATGCTGAAATAAAAATCATACAGCACTGGAACTAATTTCAAGAATGTTCAAGATCTGCAAGGTAGAAGTATCCGACTAAGAAACGTATCTATTCCAAAATAAATCACATGAAAAGTCTCATGAGCGGAACAGCTGGAGCAGCTCAATTATCAAAGTTGGTGCCTCTGAACCAGGGTTGCTGAGGCCCTAATATCTTTCCCCCCTATATCCAAGACATTAAATTAATAATCAACAAATCAATCCTTGTACAAACAGATGTCTCAAGTTCCCTCACACGGGAATTGCACATTTTAAAGCATCTTTGAAAGAGTGGGCAGCCTCACTTTTAGAATGTACACCTTCCTGAAACAAGGTGGTATTAGAAGAATGCAGGCTTCTCCCACTGTAATTGTGGTCATAGCACTGACAACATCCCAAGCTAGTGAATGCCCTCCTGTCCTACTCCCACAAACAGTACCGTTAGCATGCCAGCCTGATCCTATCGATTCCTCCAGCCAGGCGACAAGCAACCAGGACAGAAACTCACCCCTCCATATTAGTTATTTGCCAAGAAGGCAACTGATATATGCACATTAACATCCTGAATAACGACTATGTGGTTTTGATGGTTTTCTGCAACAATTGTTCCTTCCCACATCTCATCCGTAGTGTTTTTGCTGAAGTGTCACTGTCTTACTACAGCCGTTTGTTAGTTTGGGAGTCAGTGGGTAGACCATTCCAGAACAGAATTACTCACAGGCATCTCGGTTATTCTTTGCCTTCTCAGTCAGTGGCTGGAGGGTCCAACAAAGGAAGTGAAAAAGGACCAAAAAAAAAAAAAAAAAAAAAAAAAAAAAAGAGACAGCACAAGAGAAAAGACAGAGAGAAGGGAGACAGTCAGCATGTTCTAAGGAAATATCCCCCAGTATGATCAAGCACTGATGACTTAAACTTTATCTTGCTGACTCAGTGAGGCAGCTAGACCACTTCAGAAGTATTAAATACTGATACTCGGTCACAAACCTGTGTAAAAACCACATCTTCGTCAAAACCTTTCTTTCTCTCCACAGAGTTCTTTGTTACAGAATGAAATTCTAATTTTTATGGTGGCTAAAACATTTCTCACCTAGTTTCGTCTTAGAAAGGAAATACTAACAAACTAGTCCCTCATTCACAATCCCTACAACAATCATTACAGCTTTGCTTTCACTGTCTTTTAATACAGAAACTTAGCTACAGCTGTTGGAATACTTGCTAGGAAGATTCTGATGCTTGGCTGAGAAAAGGTATCTGACAGGCTAGTACGAAAAAAAGATAAATCAGAAAGGTACCTACTTTCCTCCCTGCCAGCTTGATCCGTGGAGTGAAGCTGTTACACAGGAGCTGACTTTTGGATGTGTAGAAACTGAAAGGAAAAACAGGGTGGTTCAGCTGTCTTCTAAGAACAGAACATGGCTGGTTAGCTACACAGCAAAGAGCCCATGAATTTGAGCTAGCTATTAGACAGAGAAAAGGGGATACCTTTCTCTGCATAAGACAACATATGGAAAACACTGACGGACGGTTAACCTGAAAGAAGCTACTCTTTCCTTAAAGACCAGCCTTTGAGACATACTGCCTCAGTCTAGACCTCTTCTTAATATGCTTACATCTGCACTCCCCAGTTCACTGCCTCTTTCTACAGAAAGGTATCCACTTTCACTATCTATACAGTACTGTGCAGTTTACATGACTTTCCCCCTAATTTACATGACAGTACAGACTCACATCAGCTGCTTGAAAACTACAAACCTCCTCCTATTTGAAATAATCTATTCATTCAGATCTGTTTCTTGTCACCTGAATCTTTTACATACTGCTTTCTTATAAGCCTTCAAACACGTTTTTCATCTATGGCAAAGTTTAGATGCCTTCCAGCCACTCAAAAATACTAGGTATAAGCAACCCATGAATAGTAAATGGTCAGGACAGTCAATTAATGCATGCAGATAAAATGAGGTATTAAGAGAGAGGGAAAAAAAAAACAAACCAAAACCCTACAGCAGAACAAGGACTGAGGAGGTAGCTTTCATCCTGAGCCCTGATCTCTGCATAGGGCAAGAAGAAAGAGTATTATGGCACAGATTGCTTCACTACAAGACGTGGTAGATTTTCTTTCTGCTTTCTGTTAAACAATGCAACAGTAAGCCTCAGTGTTTCCTGCAACTGTTCCAACAGATGCAGATGACACCAAGTTGGGTGGGAGTGTCGATCTGCTG